TTTTTTTTAAATAGTTTCTTCAGTTCTTTCTTTTAATTTTTTAAACTCTTCTCACGATTCAATGCTAAACTACTTGATGATCTGAATTATTTGTGTACTCTATGACCGAACGTTGCACGATGAAAAAAAAAAAAATATATATATATATATATATACATGGATCAATTTATGGTTACATGGTCTTGGCTGAAAAGTAATTCTTCTTAAAAGAAAGCTTCTTAAAAAGGCTTAAAACAAGTGAAATTCAATTTCCCTCTTAAACGCGTGAGCTTCGCTCCGAACGGGATAAATATCGCGACAGATGAGAGTAGGAAATTTAAGGTTGACTGCGAGTCATCAAGTTGCCTTGAAAAATCCATAAAACACAGGCCATGAGATTCATCACCGACTGGTAGCTCAAAATACAACGATCTCCAGAAACGAATTGACCAATTCCGCTTGACAAACAATGCATAATTTAGATGTGTCAGAGACAACGCCACGCGGTGGCGGGACAACGAGGCTCGGTCAAATTTCTCTTCGCGAGTTCTTTCCTTACCGCCGAGCTGGACCAAATATTTTCGTTGTATTTCACGTGAGTCGTGAGACAGACGAGAAGCCGTCGTGACTCTCGACAGAGGTGGTTTTGGCAACAGTAGATTACACAATTGTTGGTGGGTGGAGGTAAACAAATACGTACGCGACCCGTAATATGGAGAAAATTTCATTTCGTAACATGTGCGAAATTTCATTTCGAAAACAAAATAGAATTGTGGATTAGGGATTAATGAAATTGTAGATTATTCGAGGATAGGATATCGAGTCGCGATGCATTCAGGACGCTGACTCTTCCAGCGTAGATTAATCACATCATAGAGCATTCAACCATGGAATAATTAAAGATAGATAGAATTTCAACCGAGAGCCGGTCAAATATAGAATATTCAGGGGCGAGCCTCTATAAATTAATCGAATTGTCGAGTACGCGGATATTTTTGGTAATTTAAGAAACTAATTGGGATAAAGGGCATCGAATTTTGAAAATAATCATTGGAGAGTGAAGTAATTAGTTCGAACAAAAAGGAGAGATTGCTTTGATAACTACAGAATAATCTGTAAATTCTAGTCGCGGTTAAACAATCGAATTATGCCACGGAGAAGAAAGAATTTTTCATCGTTGTCTGTAACGAATGCGTTATAACTAGAAAAGGAATAATCATTCGTATAAAAATCCCACTATTCTCCAACATCAGCCTGTAACCCAAATATCCATATCTGATCCCCCACGATAATGTATCTGCATCGATATAACCACTTGTTGCAGCCAGTCATCGAACCAAAAACCAAATCACAAACTATTGCACGGAAATTAATTTGGGAAATGCCAACCACCGCAATCTCTCTTTCACGAAAAACATCTGTCGCCATCGAATGCAAATCGCGACGATACTTTCAAGATTTCACATTCCTCGCGTTCTGCTGATTCCCCCCCCCCCTCTCCTCCCCCCCTCGAACTGCTGATTTAAGTTGGGAAACCTAAGGATGCACTGTTGCTCCCACAGATTCTCTGAAGGCGCCGAATATATCGTTGGTCGTAGGGGGAAAAGACGGGGACCGCAAAAAGTCAGACGAGCAAGGGCCTATTACTTGTTGTTCCACGACGTGTCTGAATGTCCGCATTATGCTCGGTGCCGAGTCAAGGCAGACACTCTCTGTATCTCATCGGGATATCGTGGCAGCCTCCCCCCTCCCCCCCCCCATTCCCACCGCCATCCTCTCTCGTTCCAGCATGTCTGAAACTGTCCAAGGGGACAATGGCGAGGTTATATCCGAGCAGACGAGAATGCATTGTTGGACGACATCGGTGAGAACCAAGGAGAAAAGCTACGTCACAGACGGCCTGGAGGAAAGGCGAGGGGGGAGAGCGTCGAGGACGCCAGCCGTCGGGACGCACTGATAACGCAACCGTGCCAGAAATCAGAGCACCACTGCCATTTTTCAATCGCGATTGCGCGCGCCTTCCATTCCATTGAATTCTCATGGTTACTTTTTTTATGTTGTGTTCAGTTTGTACATACGTGTATCTGTACTGAGGGGGGCTGAGAGGAGATTCTCGAGAGTCGTTTTTTAAACATTTTGGTGATCTTAGTTTAACGCGATGAGAAATAATTTAGAATTATGAAGAATATTTGATAATTCGTGTCTTTCTTTTTTGCGTTACAGGTGAGCCAAATCCCATTGTGCGTGCCACGCCATTTCGTGTCTATTTTGGTAGTGAGTAAATTGTATTTTTTATTCTCGTAATTTGAAGAGTTCCTCCTTTTTCCGGGGAGGAAGAACTTTTTGAACAGCAATGGACAATCATGGTCAGGACGTTTTTTTTTTTTAAGCAACTTCTCGTTTGCATTTTCTGCTGCGAAAGTTCAAAAACAGAACCGAGGAGAATGCAGTTCTTTTCACGTATTAAGCCCCTGTCACACTTGACATCTTCTGTATTCTAGAAACTCGACGATCATTTCTTTCGGAGAAACTTCGAAATAAGACCGACAGGAATTTCAACGAGAGAACAATTCTTTTCGCGCGTCAAGCCCTTTTCACACTTGGCGTTTATTTATTCTACGATCGTCAACGAATTGTCATTTGCATCTTCCGCCACAAAGCCCGAAAGCACACCAGCCATTTTAACATGAGAATCGCTCTTTCCGTGCATTAAGCCCCATTCACGCTTCAACGTCCCATCCCAAACAACGTTCCACTTGAACAGACGAAAACATTCGATCGTTCCAACGCTACGGGCCGTGTCGTCGCGCTACGAAAAGGGCGCTGCTGATGCTATTCGACCAGAATACAGGTTCGGGATTCCCAGAACCACGCTGGCTATCCGAGAAGCCGCGTGACGCCTCGTCCTGCTCGTTTTTCACGAACGAACGCCCACGTGCTTTTATCAGGATCTACATTCACGGCTGAGATCAGCGATCCTGGCTGGGTTCAAGGCCGATTACGAAGGCTTCTCTCTCTCTCTCTCTCTCTCTCTCTCTCCTCACTTTCGCCATGGAGGCCAGATTTTGCTACGCCGGCGCGTTTCTCGCTGATTTTTCTTATCTGTCTCGGCTGATTCTCGTTTCTCTCACGGCCGACGACATTCCTACGGGATCAAAACCGTGGCGCGCCTCTGTTTGCCTCGGCGAGAGAGCCGAAAGGACCCAGATCCTTTTTGCCTCTCAGTCAACCCGCTCCCTTCTCACCCGCCAACACTTTATGCTGATTCTTCTCGTTGGATCCTCGCTTTTTCTGCATGCATTTCTTCAATCTTAATTGCCGCGATCCTTGCCGATTGACGACGTGATTCCGCGAGTGAGACTTCCGGAGGGACAACAAGAGTTTGGCATTAGTATTTAGGATTCACGGAGTTTGGGGAATTTTATCTTTAATGGTAGTAGTTTAAAAATAACTGCAGTTAAAAATAATCCAAGGCTCAGAGTTTCCAAAGATAACAAAAGTGTAAGAAAATGGTTAGAAAAGTCAGTTGTAATCTCTATTCTACGAGCCTGTGCTTCTCCTAGGGAATAATATCTGGTGAAAAATCTGCAGCTACTCACCCTAGATCCTAATTTCTCAATAAATTCGTATCTTCTTCTGTCAACGGTCCGACAGAAAACAGAAGTTAGGCGAATAATCTCGAGACGAAACCGGTTGCGATTTCTCCGTGAGCCCGAGCAAAAATACCGGGGCGAGCAACGTGCTCGAAAGTATACACAAACGGTCGGTTGTGTGTCCGGTCATGTGCAACCATGTAAAAAAAAAAAAGAAAAGAAAAAAAAAAGGAAGAAAATGATCGAAAGATTGGTGGAACGAGTTCGAGAAGAGAAAGAAGCGATAAAGCGGAGGAGGCGGAGGATACGTTCGCCGCGGGAGGTCCTGGTGAACGTATCCGTGGCTCTTGACCTCGCCTGCGCCACTTCGACACAATTTCGTTCAGATTAAACAGCCACGTTCGTGCCTTTGTTCAACGCTAATGAATCAATTTTCGTCGATCGACTCGCTCGCAAGTACTCCTTCTACAACTTCGCCCCGTCCGTTTGTTCTCTTTGTCTCGAAGACTCTCCACTCGTTTTCTCCTCTCAAACGCTTTAACTTTTCGTTTAACCGGGGAATTTTCTTTTTTCATGCTTAAAACAATTATCCCCGATTGATAGAACTGATAGTCCACTTTTAACTTAATTGCCAACTCGCATTTGTGTTAATTATTCGTGATACTTGTGAATATCGGCTTGTCGATGAACAATTATTCCTCAGAGTATTACAGTGCCGTTAATGACTCTCATTTATGGAATTTTTATGGTCGAAACTGACGTGCAGCTAGCTGTTACTGAAAACTTTCTCAGAAAAGAAATTGATACCAATTAATTTCCCCGCTGTCAGAGTTTACGACGAGATTAAGGTTTCCCCGGGGGCTGCCCTCCATTTTTCACCAGATAATCTAGCCGCGGTCGAAACGGTGGCCGTGACAGGCTGGCCAATATTAAGAATGCAACTTTCCCGTCTGTTTTTAAGGTTTTTACGGGGAACTATAAACTCCCGTCGACGATGCTGCCTGGCAGAGTTATTAGGCTCGTTAGAGCAAAGCCGCATTAAAGAAGCGAATTTGCGAGCGAGCGGTCGCAATTTATCGATTTCACGGGGAGCTTACGACGAAACGGGCCTTGGCTTCTGCCTGTCTGTGAACCGGTCGAAAATAATCAATCCCGCCAGGAACAGTTACACAGTATCTCGCCTTTCATTTTTACGATGATCGATTCGTTAAACAGCCATTCACGGGGAATCTATTTCAGTCGCTGTGACTGGTATCGCGTGCTGGAGTATCGTATACGAGACGAAAGTTCCCCAGAACACCTCGCGAAGGCACGACAATTACGTATCGAATAACCCTACGTTCCCGAGGCACGTTCTCTGGAATAGTTCGGCAAAGCGGAGGAGGAACTGTTACGTGTGTTGCACGGTTTAATTATTAGAAAATCTTCTCACGGTGTAGAATTTACTGGAGTGGCTCACGCGAAAATCCGATTCGTTGCGCATCGAGTAAATTTGCGCGGAGAGGCACGGTAACGGGATTAGACAAGCCGAAAAATAGCGAGATCCTTTTACCAGGGAAATGGAGAAATATTTCTACTAGAAACTAGAGAAATGTTTATTTGTGTTTCTTTTTAAAGAAATATTTTTAACTGTCCTGTAAATTAACTGCTTCGCTGCTTTCCTAATTTCCGGTCATTTTTAAAAATCGGTAAATTTCAATGATCCCAGTTTTCTCAGCAGACGTTTCGATGATCCTAGTTTCTCAACAGACAAATTCTCGACCATCGAAATGATTATCGGCATTAAGTTCGATTTATTGTTAGTCAGCTTCAAATATAGCCATCGAATTTTTTCCACACATACTGCATATGGTTTCGAAGGCAGACCGGCGGCTTGTTTGAGCAGCTGCGCGTAGCATTGCACTTGTTCGTGTTGTTCTTTAAACAGCGTTTACCAGTACGCCGATATGTTGACCTTAACGAGTAATTTCAGGCACGTTTATCGACGTTCATCTCAATCTTCCACGATAATTATACGCCTCGCCGTAATTTTATATATGAAATTATACACTCTGCATATTCTTTTTATGATAATTTATGTAATCTTCGATGTCTCAATATTCAAGTATTCAAAATTTTCCGTCTTTTCAATATTGCGAGTGAGTAGATATAATCGATCGAAAATATTATTTTTGCGGTGCTTAATTATTAAAAGAAATTCTTCGCGCAACCTAAAGTTATATTCGTTTCTGTGAAATTAAGAAAAGTAGAGAAGGAGAGGAGACTGAACGCCTCCCAGGTAAATTTAGCAGACTATTTTCCTTTCCTCTCGCGATGCATTTACAAAATGTTTCATGTCATTGATCGAAAAGAAACGTCGAGGAAAAGCCACTGTGAATGTTTTTCGAACACGCGCTATTTTCGGCCGTGTAACCAATCCCGCGGGCGAACAGATCCGATGCGTTCGCTCTTCGTATAATAAATTAATTCTCGTTATTTAACCGTGGAAAGTGGCTGGCAATCGGCGGATCATGAATTTCGCGGGAATATTTCGCTTTTCGTTGGACAAACGAACCTTCTCACCGACATTTCCAGGATTATGCTCTCCGTTTCACGTACGTGTGAGTCAGGTTATCTGGCTCGTAAATTGGCGGTAAATTCAAACTCGTCGCTCGTTCTCCGCGAAATCAGATCCGCGCTGAAATGTTTAAAATTTTTATTTCAGCGTGGAATTGCTGTTTCAGTTATTGTACTGTAAGTTTAATGATTCCATGGGGAATAGAAACTCGAGGGAGTAGTTGTTCACGTTTCACGTCGGAAGCTGGATGATGCACGCGCTATTTCGAGGTGAGAGGGCCTAATTGCAGTTCTCGACTCGCTGGCCAACCGCTCCGCGTTCCTTCGGCCGAGAAATTCGATACGGATTGGCGAACGAATCGATTCCTAAACTTGTTTCGTCGAATCGATCGCGGCAATCTATTTCCCGAATTTACGGACGTCTTTCGAATTGGACGATCGCGGTTCAAGGCCTTTTCCTCAAGTTCAAGGGGCTTCTCGTTCGTGGCACGTCCCGTATCGATCGAAAGAAAACCGCGAGATACGCATTATTAATTCGACCTGATGAGAGAAATTCATTCTTCGTCGTTGAGTCGTGACTTTTAATGTCTTTTTTATTTACAATTTTGGATTGAAAAGTGAAAATTGACGAGCTGTAGATTCTTGTCGACGACGGTGGCTCGAGTTTGATTTTTCGAGGTTAGGAAAATTAGTCGACTAAGGAATTTAGAAACGTCCTAACGCGTTAACGCAATGATCGATAGAAATTGATTTTAGAACGAGTGGATCAGAGATGCATTGTTGGATGCCGGGCGAAAAGAATTGCTGTGGGGTGTCAACGAGTGTCCTTGACCGTGATCTACGAGTGGACCAATGACGTCGCGTCACCAAGTTATTTTAATATCAAAGGCTCTATTATTAGCGCGTGACCCGATAGAGTCGCTCATAGAAGAACGAAACTCCTCGCGGGTCAAGATAGCTTCAGAATCTTCGACGCCCCGTTCAAATCTCCCGCGAAATTTACTGGCATTCGCTTTCTTTCTCTCTCTCTCTCACTCCTCGTTGCAATTGAAACAGTCTGAGCAAATGAAATAAAGTCGCAACTTCCGAGAATTGAGATTGCCGAAATGCGCGAAACGAGTGAAT